AAAATATCAAATCATTTGTATTTCAAGTTTTTGAGTAACGACCTGGTTTTCCAAAGATCTTCTGAAAAACCTGCTTCAGGAAAAGATCTTGAAAATGACTTTCATTGTGAAAAGCTGCATTTAGGTCCTAGCTTTCGATTAGTGAAGACCGCAAGCATCTGCCACTTTTCTGTCAAACGTTATTCAAAAAACATCCGAGTCCATTCTTTATTTTTACCGACAATAGCAAAGGTACTGAGCGAGCAGTATTATTTAATCGAATTTTTTTAACGAGCTCGAATTTTAGTACGTTTTCTTCTAACCACTCCTCTCATGCGATGAATTAGTGTGAATCTGGATCTCCTACTACCTGATCATCGCTATTATGTGATGGTGAGACAAGCTATGTTGATGCACATCTTCAACAAAGCGACAACGTGTTTGTCATACTGTTTTACCAATGTAGTCATCAGTACAATTCACATGGTAAACTCCATATGACTGAAGCTGACGTAGAATATGGTTTTATTCACGAAAAACTGTTGCAAAGTTGGTGGTGGCTTCTTTATGATCTTTAATTGAGAAAGTGGTTTTATCTGCTTAACAAAAGAACCCAATCTTCTTCCATAAACAGCACCCAACATAAAACATTTCAAAATAAGGCATTTCAACAAAAAACTTATCTTTCTTTTCTATGATATCATTATAACTATCTTGTATGTCAACATCTATTGATCTACCAAACCACTCAGACAAATGAATGCAACTTTGAGTATCAACAAACGCCAACGGACATTCATTTGATTTAGAAAATTTCCTAATCTCGTTTAGCTTAACACTTAACGGTTTACAGAATCAGTAAATTCTAAGACAACGATATATCACGGATCTACTAGCCCTACGCTTATAACTCAAAGAAAGAAAAGACCTCTAATTAATCAGTAATCCTGAAAAAAATCTCTTCTACATATAGCTTTTGTAAATTCGATGCAATTACGAGAATTACCTTTTCATACGCAAACCGAATATTCCTATGATAATTGTTAACAAACTTCCAAAAATATCTGCAACTAAAGCACTACGGTCTCCTAGGCCGAACGTATCCTCAGCATATCGGCATCAATACCCAACACTAGCGCGACGCAACAGTGCATGCACATATAAGATTTTGTTAAAAAAATAATTATGCGTTTTTCATTCAGGCAATAGAATTATTTCATATTGCATCACTCTGACTGAATTGCTTATCATCATCAATTCATTAGTCCAAAGTTTCATTAGTTTCATTTCAATTCATTAGTTGTAGTGTAAACTGGAGTAGTCCAAACCGTAGTAATACAAGCTATATCAGGTATTTTATACTGCGCATCAGCCCATCAGAGTTTGTGTACTTTCATCGCATGTTAGAAACGACAAAATAAAGCGTTGTTGTGCACGTGAACTTTGGCCACACGTTGTAACGCGCTGTTTGCCGTTACGTTATTAGCGTGACGAAAGTTCTGTTTGGGTTGTAATGAAAGTTCGCGATGCGGTGTGACGAAAGTTCTAGGTATGTTACACAGTTGGTTACGAAAGTCCACCATTGATGTGACCAAAGTGTGGGATGGTACCCCAAAAATACCATACACTTTCGTCACGTATGACGAAAGTTAACGTGACGAAAGTGCTATCACTCCTTTAGTGTGCACAGCACTCGATATTACGACGAAAGACATTTGCCAACCTTATCACGGACGGGAGGTGGGTTCCAAGAGAGCGTCGCAAACGAGCATTCCTTTCGTTGTCGTGCTTAACTGACGTAACCCTTTGTCGTGTTTCTTAGAATAAAGGAAAATTATAGCATACTCTACGTTTCGCAACAGTACATTAACTTCTTCTACCCCACCTCACATTATCTTATCTCATCTTAACTTCGTTATCATATCTCATCAAAGGTTAAGAGTTCTGAGACAAGTTTTGTATTGAAATCCAGCACACCTCTGAACTAAGACACAGTACATTTAAATATATGGGTCAGGATTGGATCTTCCGCTTTTGAAATCAAACCCTTGTGATAACCCAGGCGATGGGTTGATTGATCTGACCACGAAAGTCTCGTATAAAACGAACCGAGATCTAAGATAGAATTTAGTACCAAACTCGGTTAGTTCTGAAACTCACATTTACCATGCACATATAAGATTTTGTTAAAAAAACAATTATGCGTTTTTCATTCAGGCAATAGAATTATTTCATATTGCGTCATTCTGACTGAATTCCTTATCATCATCTTTATGCGCAAAGAAGAAAAACTTAAATATTATCATCAATTAAACATCAAATAAACATAAATAAGATGATGGGTAAAGTGCAAATATACTTCATACATCCTACTCTGCCTTTTTTTCTAGAAAGTAAAAACGACCAGCACATTTTTTCAGCTTTTTCAAGGTGATAGAGAGAAAAATAAAGCTCTCTTCTCATAAATGACAAACGTTTTCTATTAAAATTTAATATATAAAGGGATGAAATATTTGGTATAATACTATCATATTTATTCATAATAACAGGTAAGCGTCAAGCATTTGCTCATACATTTTCACTACTTTTTATTTCTCAGTAGTGTATACAACAATAATGAAAGTTTTGATTGCATTATGTGTGTTGTTTATTGGTGCATTTTCTGCGACAGCATTTAATACAGCAAATGACGACGGATGGAATTTATTTAAACAAGTACATTCAAAACAGTATACAAATGAACAAGAAGTACATCGGTATGTTTTGCCGAGAAATTGTTCAACTACTTATATATGTGCATAAACTGTCCTTTTAGACGTAGCGTTTGGGAATCAAATTTACAAAAAATTCGAACACATAATTTAGAAGCTGACCTTGGTGTTCATACATATACAATGAAAATGAATAAATATGGTGATCTGGTAAATGATAATATAAGATTATATTATCATGGTGAAACATGATTTCATGTTTCACCAAAACATCTGATCAATTCTCTCTACTACTTCATTTGTTTAGACGCATGAAGAGTTTGTCAAACAAATGAATGGTTTAAAAATGGAACTTCGTTCACGATCAGTTGATAATGATCATCATACATTTATTCCACCATCAAATGTTGATATACCAGCATCCGTTGGTAAATACTCTTTATTTAATTCTAGACTATAAGAATCAGAACGAGATTATTTTGTTTCTTTTCTTAAGATTGGAGAACAAAAGGGTATGTGACCGGCGTAAAAGACCAAGGACAATGTGGTACGTATACTGAGGAGATAGAGAGTAAGAGATTAGAACTTCTTCTCCCTATCTCTTTCTTTAGGATCATGTTGGGCATTTTCGGCAACAGGAAGTTTGGAAGGTCAACATTTCAAAAAGTATAATAAACTTGTTTCATTATCAGAACAAAATTTAGTTGATTGTTCTGGTAAACAAGGTAATATGGGCTGTGATGGTGGTTTAATGGATCAAGCTTTTGAATATATAAAAGTGAACAAAGGAATTGATACCGAGAAAAGTTATCCATATGAAGCTGAAGATGGCAAATGTCGATTCAAAAAGCAAAATGTTGGGGCAAACGATACTGTAAGAAATATAAGAATAAAATTTTCCTTCGCAGAAATGCTTATCTCTTTTTATTCTTGCTCAAGGGATATACGGATATTAAATCAGGTAGCGAAACTGATTTAGAGTCAGCTATTGCAACAGTTGGTCCCATATCAGTTGCTATCGATGCATCACAAGATTCATTCCAGTTTTATTCATCCGGTGTCTACAATGAACCTGATTGTTCATCAACAGAATTAGATCATGGTGTTTTAGCTGTGGGTTATGATACAACAGCGAAAAAACAAGACTATTATATCGTTAAAAATTCATGGGGTGAATCATGGGGAAATGATGGTTATATCTGGATGTCACGTAATAAGAAAAATCAATGTGGTATAGCAACGATGTCATCATATCCACTAGTTTAAAGACATCGCTTAGCACTTTTTTCTTTTTTGTTTCCGATATGTGCAATAAATAGTTTCCATAAAATGTTGCATAGTAAAACGTCAATATATTGGGCACTAGGCTAAACGGATCACTTTCTGAACGCTATTCCAGTATCGAGAATTTTGTGAAGTAGAAAATTCTGGATCTTTGTGTCTAAAAAGCGGTCTTCAAACAGTATCTCTAGAAACAAAGCTGTGAATCGACTGTTACCTTGATCAGAAAGGTACAAGCTTCCTAGTTTGCCAAATGCCAACGCAATAGGATAATAGCGCTGATTTGTGCGTGATCCCTCATCATCATCCATGATCCGTAGCAAAAAAGAGTACGCCGTGATATATTAATTGGAAAAAACTCAGGTCATCGAAAGGAAGTGTGTAACATCACTGCTCAACGAAATACAATTTGATGTTTTTTTCCAAAATTTCACCATGTCCTGGAATACTATGACACATAGGCGGATAAAGCATTACGATTTCATAGATATAAGAGCACACGGTAAGTTTCTTTCTCACTCGCTAAAACAATATCCCGCTACTTTCTCTCTCTAGAACGGTGTCCTCTCAGTTCGTCCCAAATTGGCTTTGTAAGATCAAATAACATCAAAGAGGTGGGCAGGTGTCGAACTGAGAGTAAACCCTCCAGAACAATCAGCTCAAATTTGTGTTTGAATTGTATTTGAGTTCGAAGCGCTACGCATGCTCCTTGTCGGTGCATAAACAATATGCAGTTTCATGTACACGTCTGCTATAAGGTCACGATGATTTTATTTTGTATTTTCAGTCGGACAGACGATGTCACAAGTGCATGAGCAAAAGAAGAATAAAAATGCTCATATGCCGTCTGTCGCTCTCTCGCTACACAGGTGCAGCCGTTCATTCTGCACAATAGCTCTTCTCTTGCTCTATACCTTTCATCTATAAACTCTTTTTTTGCACAGACAGTTAAAAATACTTTTGTACATTATGGCTGCTTGTGTAGTGCCTGGTTGTCCAAAAGGCAAGGGCCCACTTGCTAGCTCCAAGCAGATGATCTAGTGAGCTTGATTATACGCCCAATTCAAACGCATCAGGTCGCTTCAACCCGCTTAAGCTGGCTTTGGCGAGGGTGAGGGGATAAAATTTCGTTTTTCGAAGTCGATTTTTGTCAATAACGCCAAAGTATGGATGATAATCGTTTTTGCTGCTGATTTTAGCACTTTGTGTTGATTTAGATTGAGAAGATGTGTTGTACATCATTTTAATAGTTTAATTGTGCATTTTTTCATATATAAGATTCAATGTGTCTACCTCTCGCTGCGCTTTTCGATATCACCGTCAATGTTTGATCAAGATCGAAGAGCTTCAGTCATCCATTATGTAGCTCGAAAAACTTGATAACTTAGTTCGAGAACACCCCTTAAACATTTAGACGTTCCATTTTGTCGTTTAATTGATAATTGACGGCAGTAAAATCATTGTGACGTTGCGATCTTAACAACAGTAGTTCAATATGACGACTAATATGCACATCAATAAGAATTAATGCGCAAGTATCTAAGATTCTCGTAGTATCTGATTATCTATACTGTTACAACCGAATAGAACGTCGATGACAAAAAAGTATATCTTGCAATTTTTAATAATTTCTAAGTATGTACCAGAAGCTGTGTGTATCCCAGTCGGGACATAAAGTGCTAAAATTAGCAATATTGGCGTTATTGACAAAAGTCGACTTCGAAATAGGAAATTTTTCGTCGAGCAACGTGTTTAGAACTCAAAATACACAGCAAACAGGATCGAATTCGACTATAGAATAAGAAAAAGCAGAGACATCTACTCAATGTTCGATTCGTCTAAGGCAGCAGAGTTCGATGCTCTATATCACGATCGGGTTATGAAGTCACACCGGCGTAACACAATAGCTGATTGACATTGAGTCAAGTGGTCGACACCCTAAAGCAAAGGGGAAAAACGATTTTCGAGGATCATGGTATCATCTCAAGGATTCAAGGAGGCTACCAGGATTCGATGATTTCAAGATTTCTGTTATGTTTCAAAGGAGTGCGTAGTGGAGTGAACAAGTGTATATTACTAGGGTTCATACTAGACATTGGAAAACTAGGTTTTGTAAAGGTTTAGTCTTTTTGATTGAAGATTGACTTGAAGATCCCCGCCTCTGTATTATCAATCTTAGTGAGGGCTGTAGTTTTCCCAACCAACCGAGGAACAGGTTGTTGAGAAGGATAATGTATGTATGAACACCAAGGTCAACTTCTAAATTATGCGTTCGAATTTTTTGTAAATTTGATTCCCAAACACTACGTCTAAAAGGACAGTTTATGCATATGAGTGAATCGTATATTAATTGTACAATTGGTTGTTTAGTACCGTTTCTGCCCTAAATCCGTAGTGTTTTGTCGGATTCCTAAAACTTTTTTTATTTTACTCATCTCATCACCTCTACCGATAAAAATTTTGAGCATTCTATGTTTTCAGGTGAGTGAGATACACGCATGAAAAAGCAGAAAAACACGTTTTTTTCTTGACTAGCATGATTAAAACGCGATTTTTACATCAAAGACAGATGATAAAGAAAAAGCAGACCAGTGGATCGTGTAGAGCGCAAAATTCTCTATTCATATCATTTACGATTTCGCTTCAGCACTTTGGCACAGATTTTTTTGGAGAATTAAGTTTTCGGTACAAATTGTAGGGAGACACTAAAATCGGTCTGACGGATTTAGGCAGCACTTAAGCGTAAAATTGATTCCGCCATGAGACAGAGCATCAAAAACACTCCGAAAAACACACAAAAGTATTTTACTAAACGCCTATTAAGTGGTCCAAAAATGACTAAGTTAAGGTTTTTCACTCAGTTTGTAGGGAGAGATTTTGGAACTTGCGTTGCCCATAAGTCAATGATATTGTATCTAAATTGTTTCAAACTTTCAGAACCAGAAGCAGGTAGGAAGTTGTATGAGTGGTAAAAATTTCAGCACTTAAAGTTGATGTCTTCCTAGTAAACTTCCTTTACGTTATGCCGCAAAATGTAGGGAGACTTTTTTTGTAGGGAGAGATTCGTTTCGAACTTTTGCTTATCTGCTATGCTGCGTGATTTCAAATAGTTGACATTATCATTCTATAGATGAAATTTCCTTTTAGAGGATGATGCAATATGACGTATTTCTTTCATTTTTTTGTAATATCCGCGTAAGAATTACACACTATTTCTTTTCCTCAACTGTATGCATAATTTTTTCTTCTTGTTGTGTTTGCATAACAATTCTTTGTCTACTGCACAGAGTCATTTGTTAAAGGCGTCTGAAAAGAAACTCATTTCCTTTTCTTACCTAAGTGGGTCTACATTCAAAGCGTTCGACCTCCTTTGTCTTCTTCTTTTCTTTTGGACTTTTTTGCTATATTTATTGATACGCTTGTAAGCGCTTGCAAAGGTAATAAAAAGTTTAAAAGTACAAAAAAATTTGGTTACAACGTTATTCTTTCTTACACTTTACATAACTCAATCTTACAAGGAAACGTATTGAGAAAAAACACTCCAGTTTCGTTAGTTCATATTTTAGTCGATAGAGGACACCGAGCTAGTAAAAACTTAATGAAACAAAATGAAATTCGACATCATCATGTTAATGTTCATAGTGAGAGATGCTTAAAATGATTTTTTGAAATTCTCGAGAAAATCTTCTTGAGAAAACCAATAAAAATTTTATTTTACACATTTGCAGCATGAGCCTTTGAACTTACATCTATTACTATTACGAATTGCAGATATCCAATCAAAACGCTTATACATATTATCCATCAAAACAACAGTGCCATCCGTTGCTTTTTGATTAACCATTCATTGGAAAGAGCTAGAGAGCTCCGATTTTCGTCATTTGGAAAATCCGACACAACGTCCGAACCGCGAAAAATCAAGGTGTCACTTGACTACCATTTTGAACAGGACACTCCGGTCGATCGGTCCATGAAAAAAAACGAATACAATCCTATTAGGAAACTTTTACAGACGGCCTCGTTTTGCAAAGATCTCCTAGAAAATCTGTTTCAGAAAACTCTTCTGAAATAATTTTGGTTATACCCAAGCAAAAATCGCCCAGCGGAAAAATCTAGATGTTCTTGCTGGAGCATTGGGCAATGCGCCAGCAAGAACATCTAGCTAAAAGAGTAAAAAAAATTGACTTATCTAGATGTATCGGGTTGGGCC